CTCTTCTAAAAAGGTGATGGAGAAAGTCAAGATGGAACAGCTTTCATCCAACTGCCCACAGGAAGTATTAACTTTCCCATCTCCTTGTTGACACTGTGCCACTGCTGTTGAAGCCGTGCTAGTGCAAACATAGAGCTAACAATAACATACATTTTTTAAAAGCCTTAGATCACTTCCCCTTTTCAAACAATCCTTTCCCTTTCCCTTTCTTATGGGAGAGAAAGCCATTTAGTGGGTTTTAATGGTTTGGGGAGATCAGGCTATTTGTTTTTATATCCACTCACTCCATCCACCCAGAGGCATCTTTCAAATGACCAGCAGGACTGGATTAGAAACCACAACTAATGAATGAAGCATACTTAAAAAGCATAAATAAAAAGAGTCATGGTTTACCTCTCACCACAAGAAGGAAAACATACAACCATGATGGGTGGCGTATTGCGGTTGCTTTATTGCGAATCACAATATAGCAGGGGAATATGAAACCTGGGATACTAAGGGGAATTTGGTAAACAGCAGTGAAGATGATGCTAGTGAACAAAGTATGCTGGAGATATTTAACTTTCCGTCCATGCGCTCATTTCCATCAAATCCAGGAGGGCAGGAGTGGAAGTACTGGCTCAGCTTCAAGGCTTTTGAGTTGATATACAAAGCCCTGAACAACTTGGGTCCCAGATACATTAAATGACTGCCAGAGCCCATGTATCCCAGCTCAATCACTGAGATAATCTAGAGCAGTCTTCTTCAACCTTGGGTTCCTAGATCTTGTTAAATTTCAACTCCCACCGGCCCTGTCCATTGGCTAAATTGGTTTGGGATTGTGGTAGTTGTGGTCCTACAATATCTGGTGCCCAAGTTTGAAAAGCAGTGATCTAGAGGAATGTTGTTAGTTGTTCCCCATGTTACAGAGGCCTGACTGGCCTAGACCAGAAGTAGGGGGTTTAGCCTTTCCAGACCTATTCTGCGGGAAACTCATCAAGTAGAGATTCAGAAGGCCCCCTCCCTTTTGACTTTCAGGCATCTCTTGAAGACTTGCTGACAAGCCTATGCAGTTGTTTAACATTTTCTTGAGTAGCCAATCATTTTAATGATTGTTCTGTACTTTTAAAGTGAAATGTGAAATGCTCTTCCATTGAGACTTGGGCAACCATTTATGCATAACTCCAAAAGAGGAAATACAGCACCCAAAAAAGAAGACAAAATGGGAAAGATAGATATGAAAAAATGTGCATATGCTAATTTAGAGAGAGATGCAAACTTACAAATCATTAACAATAATTTATACAGAAGTAGTGCATCTCACCATAGTGGGGGAGATTGACCAGGTAACCTCTGTGCCTTCTCAGGTGCTCATATTTGATGGCAACTTCAAGGCTTCTGCTCACCTTTTGTCTGGGTTTTTATCATTAAACTAGACTTGGACTGGGCAGCTTTTCAAACAGAGGACACTAAACAGAGACCTACCACCCCTTTTCCAGGCCCAAGCTAGTCTCTTAACAGTCCACTCCCAAATCCAGGAAATACTACGGCAAGCTCCAATGTTGTTTTGGTTTGCAATTAATTTGACAACCGCTTTTAAAAGAAAAATAAAAAATAAAATAAATGAGAGTTAATTTCATTGGGCACCCCCCACCCTTGATTCAATCCTCTGGCTTCTCCTGAACTTTTGAAATGCAAGACATGTTCATTCTGTGGTTGGAACACCAGCGGCTGATTCTGATTTATTTTTGGTTAGATGTCAACACAGCTGATGTTGGCATGATTTGTCATGCATTAAGATCAGCCAGGAAAATGGGGGGGAGGGAGAGAGAGAGAAACCCATAATCTTTCCTGAAAATTGTGTGTAGCCAGGTGCTAGAGGGCATGTGAGAGAGGGTGGGTTGCTGTGCCTTCCAAAGCTCGTATAAGCAAGTGCTAAATATGGTAGAAGATAAAAGAAAATCATCAAACCTCCCCTCCAAAATGTAAGAAAAAAAATGACAAGCTCCAGAATCCGCCAAGAATCTTAATAAATCCATGTTCTGGTAGATTAAAAAGGAAAGGCACAGGAGGTTCAAAGCCATGAGGCCATTCTACAGTATAGGGCTCAAGCTAGACTTAATAAAATCTGATATTTTTTTGCACTGACCTGCCTTGATATTGCCAGGAAAGGTGGCATTCTTCCTAGTACTGCCAGAATGAATGCCCTCTACCATTTGCCAGAGGAAATAAGTACTATAAGGTGAGGTACATAGGGATGGAAATAAGAAGATAAAAAGAGCCTGCTAGATTCTGTCAGCTGTGTGTGCAGGAGCCAGGCCCAATAGGACTTTGCGGGACTGGGGCCTTCCTAAGTTTGTTCTGAAGAGGCAAGGCACAGCCACACAGGTGAGGCCGATTGGTAACTCACAGCATCTGGTGGCAGGTGCTGGGAAGGGATATAAGGTCAGCATTTCCCTTTGGTTCTTTGCCACAGCAACACGTTCCCTGCCTTGTTGTGTTTGGCTTCTTGTTTCCTGATCCTTGAACCTCAGCTTCTTGGCTCCCTGCTTCTTGATCCTTGGACCCTTGACTTCTTGACTCCTTGCTTCTTGATCCTTGAAGCCCTGACTTTGTACCTCCTTGCTTCTTGACCCTCAGACCCTTGGCTTATTGACTCCTGGCTTCTGGACTCCCGGTCCTGACGTCCCCTGCCGAGACTTCGATCACCCGTGAACCAGACCGTGACAGATCAGGCCAATGGCCCATCTAGTCCAGCATCCTTTTCTCTTACAGTGGCCAAACAGAGGCCTGTGGGAAAGCCGCAAGCAGGAGCCAAGCACAAGAGCTCTCGCCCCTGCTGTGGCTTCCAGCAACTGATCTTCAGAAGCATGTGGCTTTTGCAAGCACAGCATTGCCATCATGGCTAGTAGACCACCAATAGCCTTCTCCTAAATCAGTCCAAGTAGGTGGCCATCGCTGCCTCCTGTGGAAGCAAGTTCCATTGTTTCACTAGGCACTGCGTGGCTGAACCTCTCAATTTTGTTTCTCTCCATTTCTCATTTTTCCAGCCCCAGTTCAGCTCTCCAGATTTCTGCATCAGTTCGTGAAATCTTCCATGAAAATTTGTGAGCATCTTAGCACACTTTTCTCCTGACTAAACATCAGGAAGAAGTTTCTGCTGGTTGGACGGAGCTGCTCAACAGTGGAACAGACTCCCTCGGAAGGTTGTGGACTCTCCTGGCTTGGAGGTTTTGAAGCAGAGCTTGGGTGACCACCTGCCATGGATGCTTTAATTGAGATTCCTGCATTGCAGGGGGTAGGTGACCCTCATGGTCCCTTCCAACTCTATGATTCTATAGTTGATCTTTGCCAAAAGGCCAAGAAGTGATTTTTTTTCATCAGTGCAACCAAAAGATACCTCAATTCCAAAACGCCATATATAACCAACCTAGATAGCGAAGGGCCTTCACTTTGGCCCGATGCCAGGCCCTCTCCTCAGCTATCCAGGAAGGCCGTATTAGGAAGGTATTGTACGAGGAGAGAAAATGCCCCTGTGGCTCAGGGCAACTAGAAACTGCTGAACATGTCTTCTTCCACTTCCAATATTATACAGACATACTAGTCAGGTTCATCCTGCCAATACTACACAAATTCCCTGGATGGACAGAGCAACTCTATACCTTCTTGCTGCTTGAAGATGCAAACCCAGACATAACAAATTCAGCAGCCATATTTTGCGCTGCTATGGTGGTCATTCGCTGAAGAATAGTTTGGGTCATGCACCAGACCTAAACTGAAGGCTCAAACTCAAGAACTGTGCCCTCTGCTGCAGCCTCCCTTCTATAGCTACTTTTGCAGCAGCTTGCTCTTAACCCTCTAGCTGATTTTAAGTTTCCTTCATGCATCTCCCCTTCTATGAGTCACTCCTTTTACCCGTTTTATCTGTTTTATGTCCTAAATTACTCTGTGTTTCTATCATCATTATTACGGTCACAGACCAGCTGGTCTGTGAAAGTAATAAAGATGATGATGATTCTATGATTCTTTGATATGTTAATGGATTGAAAATAATTAAAGAATCAGCAGAATAAAACAAGGTACATATGCAATTAGTAGTGGATATATACAAGGTGTGACCGGAAAGTTCTGTGAATGTTCACAGAAATCTGACAGCGAGAAATAGTTGAACATATATACCTTGCAGGCCTTCAAAGTAGGCCGCTTCTGATGCAATGCACTGTTGACAACATTCGTAGAACTGTTGGAAACGTCTGGAGAAGTCCTCTTTTCATATTGCTTTCAGTTCCTTCGTCACAGCAGCTTGGGCATGTGAAATGTTGGAAAATCTGTGCTCTTTCAGTGCAAATTTCAGTTTTGGAAAAAGAAAGAAATCCAGTGGGGCCAGATCGGGAGAATATGGAAGGTGGAACAACTCAGTAACCTCAGTAATGGTTTCATGCAGAATATTCAATTCTTCCGCCATCATTCGGTCAGACAAACACTGATCCTGCATCAATAACTCACAAATTCTGTAGACATTTGCCGCCATTCTGTTTGTCAGCGGTCTGCCAGACTGAGGGTCATATTTGATGGTTTGGCGTCCTTCACGGAACTGCTTAAACCACTCACACACTGTCTTTCGAGTTACAGATTCATCTCCAAACACATGTGTGAGCATTATGTGGGTTTCCGATGCTGGTTGTATGTTCGAATATTTCACGCTGTCCAATTTCTGTGACCATTCACCAAACTTTCCGGTCACATCTTATACATTTCACTGCTTATATTCAGGCTTATGAAGGACCACATGCAAAATAAACCAAGACTGGAAAAAGACTGAGCCATCCATCCCTCTCTCTAGATTAGCAGTTCTCAACCTATGGGTCCCCAGAAGTTGTTGGACTACAACTCCCATCATCCCTGAGCTCTGGCCTTGCTAACTAGGGGTGATGGGAGTTGTAGTCCAACAACATCTGGGGACCCACAGTTTGAGAAAGGCTGCTGTAGATCCTTAAGCAGGGGACTTTCACAGCCTTGGCTGGGGACACCAGGGATTGAACCTGGGATCTTCAACATGCAAAGCAGATGTTCTACCACTGAGCTATAGTCCTTTCCAGATTAGCACTTGTGCATCTGATGCATAGTCAAGTTAAAAATGACATCTTCCTTGACCCATTTAGGTAGCTGTGTCCATAGGTTCAAAAGCTGTGACTCTTGTTTCCTAAAGAAATCCATTGGTTTCAGGGTTTTGATTTTTTAATCATAATCACAAAGCATAATGGCCCTGACTGTTTTTGTTGGACTGCAAAGCTGTAGATAAATGGCTCATGAATCAAGGGCTGGCAGCTTGACTTTCTGGGGTTTATTAATTCCCGTGCTATTTACCTCTTTGCATGTGGCATAGCAAAAACAATTTGAACTTCAATATACCAATCTTCTGCACCACTTGATCATTTTGTGTTTGGCTTGGTTAAACAAATGCCTCCAAAGGAAGACAATGGAATGGTGGAGGGTCTTTTAGTTGGAGACTGCCGAGTCACTAGAAAGCGCAGCCATAGCTCAAAACCATCATTTTTCTGGAGCACTGAATTGGAAACATGGATCTCTGCCATGAGCCTTAAGGTACCATGTTTCCTCTATATTAAAGCCTCTTCCATCACAAGAGCACAGCAGCTATTCGTAATCAAGGTGAAGGTTCAAACATAAGAGCAATTTTTTTGAGGGGGGGTGTAGTGGTTAGGGTGCCAAACTAGCTCCCAGAGAGAATCAGGTTCACATCTCCATTCAGCTACAAAACTTGCCTAGCGTACCTCACAGAGCTGTGGTGAAGATAAAATAGGTGAGAGTGAGGGATCATGTACTCTGCTTTGGCAGAAAGTATTTCCAGACCCTCCAAGTGTCCCTATTTTAGAGGGACAGTCCTTGTTTTACAGAAGCCATCCCAGTTTCTGATTTGATCCCAGAAGATAGGATTGTTACAGGTATTGTTGCTTTACTCCCAGCAAAAGTGTGCTTAAATGAGACTAACTGAGCAGGAATCCTTCAAGCCCTCGCTTTCAAATGTGTTTCCACCTGGCAACTCAGTCAGGCTGGGGAAAGGTGGAAAGGACCTTTCCTTAAAATCCTGTACCAGTTGCCCCCTTTTTTTCCTAGAAACATCAAAGTAAGAGATTTCTTACCTCTCCCAAGCTTTTTACCTATACCATTTCCTGGTCAAGTTTCTACTCATTCTGAAACAGCTGCCTTGTCTAACCACAGCTATGGAAATTGCACATAACATAAATAGTTGAGCTCCATATATTGCAGCAAAAAGAGAGAGAGGAAGTTGAATTCCTCTAGTGTTTTTGCTTATTGTAATAGTTCACAGTTGCTCTGACATTGTCCGGGCATGTGGCTCTATTTGTAAGTCACTGGGAGGTCGCCATTTGTTCTTTCATTAAAGACAGAAAAAAATACGACCTTTTCCTCCATTGCGGCTGCATGAACCATGTTTTGTTTGTTTATTTTTAATTTATGAATATGTTTTTCAGATTAACAGTCTAAAAAGCCATTTTTAATAGCAAGATTTCTGAGAGTGCAATGTACATTAAGCAAAAAGAGAACCCAGCAAAGATTTTTTTTAGGGAAATGGGATAGGCAGAACATTTTTATATCAATAGCTGCTGTAGACTAATGCTTACTAGCGTTTAGAAATCAGCAGTACCAGATGACCCCACTCAGCTAGGCTAGATTTTTTCTTCAGTTCTCCAACCAATAAATTTGTACAGCTAATTGAGCTGCTACCTGGGCCTCAGTTACATTAGTAAAGAAAAAGCATTTTGTATGCGTTATAACACTGTGACACCAGATAGCGCTGTGGAGTCCCATCTCTCACCAACGTGATTTCCCACCTAGAGGTTTACAACACTTTTTTTCTGAAGCGCTTTTTTGATGTGTCTAGATCCAGCCCTGGTGTGAGAATGAGCCTTCCACCATGGCTCTGTAACAACCCTTTAAAAAGGATGTTTGAAAATCCGCCACAGCTGAAAACAGAGACCACTTCTTAAACTGGCACAGGCACCTCCATATTCTACAGCATAAAAACAAAAAAAGTATCCACCTTAATGCTGTAATAATGTAAAGCACATTCAGTAAGGATTATTGGTGATGGATGGATGTTTGTAAATTCAAAGCCTGTTCTCAGACGGAGCCATCTGACCCTTTGCCTGAGGCAAGATCAACAACGCTTAATCCATGCCCTCAGCTAGACTTCAGCTCTTTGGCCTTCCTCAAAGCCTCTGTCCTTTCTTCCTTCTTCGGAAGAATTGCAATAAAGTACACAAAAAGCAAGAGAAGGGAATGAACTAGACAAAGGAAGAAGCAACCAGTAGAGCCAGCGCAAAAGTCCAGGCTTCCAGAACTGGATACATTTTCAGATAAACCCACAGGTGTGAAAAATTGTTCTCCCTCCCTCTCTCTGTCTCTCATTTTTTCTCTTTTATTGAATGTGAGCAAACTCTGATCTAAAAGTATGTTAAGCACAGTTTCCCTTAAATTTCAGGGTGAATTTCAGATGTGTCCATTTCAAAGTCTCTCTGAGACTTATGGGTGCAAAGAGGGAAATAAATTTATTTTTAAAAATAAACAGACGGGTTGGCCACATGTCCTGCTTTGTGGTAGACAGTCCTGAGTTTGAAGGGTTGTGAGGTCCAAATCTAGTTTAAAGATTTAAAAGAGAAGGAAAAAGGGACAGCCGAGAACTTGAAGTTGCTCATCGGCAGACTGAGCAGGCTCACAGCTCACCTGTTTACAGTCTTCCCCACAATGTATTACATTTCTGTTTTACTGACTTTTTTGCAGTGGCTTTGCTCCTTATGGTTTTAATGATTTTGTTATTTGTAGGGTGGATAGTAAGAACAGCAGGAGCAGCAGCAACACTTAAAAGTAGAGCCACTTTGCTGTTGCGGTGGAAGAGACTTGGGTGATTTTAAGAGTGCATTGTACATTCACCTGTACTGTTAATTCTATTACCTGTGGCTTCCTGTCAATGGAATGCTCTCCCCAGTGAGGTCCACCTGATGCCTTCACTGCCATCCTTTTGGTGTCAGGTAAATACTTACCTTTTCTTCCAGGGTTCTGATAGACTGGTGTTGTTTTGTTACCAGTGTGTTGCCAAAGCTTCCGGTGGAAGGTTTTGTTTTGTTTTGATGGTATAATGTACCTATATTAAAGTGTTCCAAGTGTGTTGTAAGTCATTTGGAGACCTTTGGGTAACAAGGGACTAACAAGTCTAATGATAAGAATGACAACAGCAACTCTGCTGATTGCATCTTAATTAGCACTGTGCCCAATTCTGGGATCAATGAAAAATGCCCTTAACCAGCAGACAAGCAAATAATAAAAGCATTCTTCTAGTGGTCATGAACTGAAAGATCTTTCTCCATGGCTGCTTCCATCAAGAATAAAAGTTTCGATGTTCATCTTAAACTTGTTTACTTAAACCAGCTAAGTGTTGAACTTGGGATCAATTTGTTTAATAAATGGGTCATAATGAAATGGCCAGACATAAAGAAGGCTTCTGATTAGGTGCTATTCATTATGTACATAACTGTATCCAGAATAATTCTTGTAACTACAAGATCCTTTCTAAATTAAATTTTCCTGACTGCCTTCTGAGCTGTCTGCACCCAATGGTAAAAATCAAAGTGGCTTCTAATGGTTTTAGGAAATTGGTCGCTCTCCTAAGGCGGCTTCCTTTAATATCCCAACAGACACTGAATCAAATAGGCATCTGATGATTTGTTGGCCTATTTTAGGATATGAGCTATTTCGGTCATTTGTGACTTTTACAGGGGTAATTCTTGTGTGTTCTGTGGAGAGGGAAAATAAAAGCCTTTGAGATCCAGGAGACAACAGAAAACTTTCCATGACTTCAAGCTTGTACAGCTGCAGCCCCTAAGGATCTTCAGATCCATAAAGATATTGCAAAAGAAAAACCGTGCAGATTCTTTTTGAACCAATACCAGTATTTATGGACTGAAGCCACATGAGGTCACTTACGTTGATGAAGGTCTGGGTCTGGTCAGTGCCTGTATGGGACACCATCTGGGAACCAGACCACTTTAGACTCCATGAATGTAAGAAAAACTTTTTTGGCAGTTATGCCACAAATCAGTCTGAGACCATACATTTCTTGTGCATGCTACATCCAGTACATACATAGCCTTAGCATGGTTCAGCTTCTACTGTGCTGTGCGAAGAAGAATCAGCCAGTCGGGAAACATCAGAGAAACAGGCCAGGCAGGAATGCAAGTTCTAAGTGGACTATGTATCCCAAGATGTGCTAATTGGTTTGTAGAGCTGTGACCATCAGGGTTCTCATTGTTGCCAAGGGGCCCTGATGACCACTGAATTCTTCATGCTTTCATCCATAATGTTGCTTTCTGTTTATCTGCCCACTCCAATCATGCAAGCTGTGACAAGAGGAAGTGATAGAAGAGCACCTCTTTGCTTCCCTTTCTTCTGGGTGTGTGTGCAAGCTGAGCGATGGTGGTAAGGAGAAGCATGGCCAGCTTGGGAAACTTTGTCCCATATGGCACTGGAAGGAGCCCCGAGTTCTGTGGTGAGCGAAGCCATGCATTAGGCCAGGGGCGGAGAACCTGTGGCCCTCCAGATGTTGTTGGACCCCAGCTCCAATCAGCCCCGGGCAATATGGCCCAATGGCCAGGGATAATGGAAGTTTTAGCCCAGCAATATCCAGAGGTCTACAAGTTCTTTATCCCTGCTTTGGACCATATGTGGTTTTCCCTCAAATTGCTAGGGTTCTTGCTAGTCCCACACAGTGGGTAGCAAGCTATTGCCCAAACATTTCATTCTGGGATGTATAGAATTGAAGGCTGAGGTGGGACGCAATCCAGGTCTCCCTGTCTCTGCTCCAATGCCCTGGTGACCCGGCCAGAGTAGGATTTTTGTAAAACGTTCAGCGATGGGTGAGAGCATTTGCTCAAAGCCACTTACGGTCCTCTTTAGCAGAGTGCACACACAGGCCATTGATGGCCAACTCCTGCTTGTTCCGCAGCCGCCTCTGTACCCAAGTAAATATTTATCTTGGCATTTGCCCCATTTGTTTACC